TCCTCATATGCTAACGTGTCCTCATAGGCTAACATGTCCTCATAGGCTAACATGCCCTCATAGGCTAACATGTCCTCACAGGCTAACGTGTCCTCATAGGCTAACATGTCCTCATAGGCTCACATGCCCTCATAGGCTAACATGTCCTCATAGGCTAAAGTGTCCTCATAGGCTAACATGCCCTCATAGGCTAACATGTTCTCACAGGCTAACGTGTCCTCATAGGCTAACATGCCCTCATAGGCTAACATGTTCTCACAGGCTAACGTGTCCTCATAGGCTAACATGTTGTCACAGGCTAACGTGTCCTCATAGGCTAACATGTTCGCACAGGCTAACGTGTCCTCATAGGCTAACATGTTCTCACAGGCTAACGTGTCCTCACAAGCTAACATGTTCTCACAGGCTAACATGTTCTCACAGGCTAACGTGTCCTCACAAGCTAATATGTCCTCATAGGCTAACATGTTCTCACAGGCTAACGTGTCCTCATAGGCTAACATGTTCTCACAAGCTAACATGTCCTCATAGGCTAACATGTCCTCATAGGCTAACATGTTCTCACAGGCTAACGTGTCCTCATAGGCTAACATGTTCTCACAGGCTAACACGAGCTAACCCCAGCGATGCACACATGAGGGATTCATTGATGCTAATGGGTGTTGTAGGATATTAGAAATAAACTGACGATCCGGTTCATAAAATTAATAAAATGCATATAGTGTCCACCAGAATACAGCCATGATTCTGAAATCAATAAAGTAATGACAATATTGTAAAACCCCTGTAATATTGAAAACTGTAATCAATACAATAATACCAATGTACAGTTATGATTGTATTTGATGTAATGGAATCAACTGGAATGCTTGCATGTAATACAACAACTGATTATGACTAAACTCCCCAGGAGACTCCCACAGGTGTGGACACTAACTTTCATCGGATCGGTATAAATACCTGTAGGAACCGTTGTTCTGGAGTTTGCTGGTGGAGGCAGCAGACGGGAACTATGGGGGGTCAGAGGACCCCGTGGAGACCAGCGGCTCCTCAGCTGAGATGTTCTTTTTTACCACAACACCATCTCTTTTATTAAATACATTTGATTTTAACCTTTCGACATGCGATGCCCTTTTTTTTAAACACAAGTGTCCATCCTCGGGCAGCCGCTCACTCATCCATCTGCCTCCACAACCAGAGCCGATTGGCTGCGGGGAGCTTCTGAGGTAGAGGGCTGGTTAATTATGTTAATCCACAAAACTCATAAGGAGGCGGGTTTATAAAAAAAACTAGAACCGCTGTGGCTTAGAGAGAATGTGAGGAAACAGCTGAGTGGGTTCAGAGCGTGAGATCCTCTCCCATGGAGCCAGCATCACATTCTTCATTCATCCCACTAAAACATGAATATTAAGCCTTAAACTGGACTAAACTGGGGGTGAGAGAACTTCTCCTCCCCCACTCAGCTCCTGCTGCTGCCCTTCAGCCTTCTTCATGTCTGTGGGCGGACGGGCTTCTTCTTTTTCATCTCTGCCTAAAAACAGTACACACTTATTTTTGGGAGCCTAGTGAGACTTTTCATCTGTCCAAACATATGATTCTTTATCTAAACAATCAACACCCAAACGACAGCTTAGACCAGATTCCAGGATTATTTATTCATGTACTATCCAACACAAAATAATTCAGTGAAGCTCATTCTGTAACACAACAATCAGATAATATGGCCGACATTAAGAACCCAACCCGAGCAATCCTTCCTCAATCATCTCCTCTCAGGGATCAGGAGTCTGGGGGACTCAAGTAGTCCACCAGTACACATGCAGCATCATCTGCCGTAAAGCCCTCACATCAGCACAGGAAACCTCCCCCAAAAAAGCTTGGATGGGGATTAAAGGGAAGAAACCTCAGTGAGAACGTCAGAGGAGGATCCGTCTCCTGATGGACAGACTACATTGATGTCACGTGGACAGAATGAACAACGTAAAAGATGCACAATACATTCCTACGACAAATGCTGTAAATATTGTGAATAATTGCGAGTAGTAAGCCGTGTGTACGGCCAGCATCAGATACATAAAGAGGAAGGAAAGAGAGGATGAAAAAGGCCCAGGGAGGAGGGGAGACAGGAAAGATGAAGTATGTGAGGGAGTGTGATTAACCCTCCTCTCTGCAGCAGCAGAGAACTACGCAGAAAGCCGGAGGAGCATGAGGGCAACGGGTGAGGGGAGGAGATGCAGAGAGGGAGGGAGCCTTGTATTGTAAAATGTCTTTCATTTATATGTATTATCTGAAAAGTGTTGTTCGAATAATCTGCAGAAGATTCAGAAAGAACAGAAACACCTCAATGCTTCATCTGGAGAACAGCCTCCTCTAGAGGAGGAACATGAGAATACAGCTGCTGCTGCAGAGCCGCTCACCCAGACAGCTGCAGGAGGAGGAGGATGAACTTAACACGAACAGAAGTGGCTCAATAACTTCACCTTTAGAGGCTGTGGGAAGATTGAGAATTGATAAAAGAACTGGTCATGCAGTTTGACATCACCTCTGAGCAGCCTGCTCAGCACACTGCTTCTACTTCTGTCTCTCCAGGACTTCAATATCTTATCCTTTTATGTGAAGACTACTATGTTTTATATCATAGGTTTTCTGAAATGTACTGTTATATGATATATGTCAATGAAGTCTAACCTAACTTTACATTTGGTGGAATTTTCAGAGAAATCTACAGAAGTGTATAAACAAAGCAGTGAAATAAACAACTAAATGACTTTTTTATGTGTTTCGAAATCAAACCACTGGATACATTTATTTTGTATTTATTGTTTTTTTAATGGCTTCACTTTAAAATAAAGTGAAGTCCGTCTGGAGATGATGTGGGTTGTCCTGTTGATACTCAGACACAAAGTGCATTATCTAAATATATAATATCAGAACATGAACCACATCACAAGCAGCTCATGTTCATATGAAAGTCCCTGAAGAGGTTCTCTTAAATGTTCCTCTGAAGCTCAGCAGACGCCCTCTGTGCAGGAAGCAGCTGCTTGGCTTCCTCTGGACAGGAAGCCCCAGGTCCTGAGCAGAGCCACGCGCTGAGCAGGACGGGTGGAGAAGTAGTCCTTCTGTCTCTGAGAGTAGACCTGAACCGGAGGCACGACGTCTCTGTAGCTCCAGTCCTGAGGATGATTTATTGTCAGTATAATAATCATCACATAATCATAATCAAGGTGTGTACAGTACGGCCGACCCTGCTCAGGCCGTGAACGTGTACCTGCCAGTGGAGGTTAAAGGCCTCCAGGAGCTGGATCCTTCCCTCTCTGGAGGGCACACAGTCTGGAGGATCTGGCTGTAGCATCTCAGAGTCCACCGTCACCCCCCCAAACACCAACAGCGCTCTGATTGCAAACCAGCCCCCGAACCTTGGGTGCACACACACTCCAAACATCTTCTGCAAGTGGCAGATGAGGGGAGAAAGAGGTGTAAAATCCACGGACACACACACACACATTTATATATGTTGTTGATGACACGTAAGCGCTGACTTTGTGGCCCCAGGGCTGCTCCCTGACGTCCGCCTGCTGGTAGTAGAAAGCTGCTCCGCACACGTGGGCTGCAGTCTGAGCCAGAAACCTGGGCTTCCTGCTGGGCAGCAGCTCGTAGTCGTAGCTCACCTCCACCTCGGTCCCTGCGAAACACTGAGGAACACTGCAGAATTAACCAGGGCTCGGAAGCTGAGCAGGTCCATGTGAGCCTCTCGTTACCCGGGCCACAGCAGAGGAGACGCAGTGTCGGACACACTGGTCCACCGGGTCGGACAGAGACTGGCAGTCCGCGTCCTCCACGAAGGGCAGGAAGGCTTCTTCAAACATGGCCGGAGTGCTGAGCACCAGCACGGCCAGGCGGTCGTCCCGGTGACCGAGGCGCAGGGAGGGAGGCAGCACCGCGTTGTACCAGCCGACCTGAGGGCGACAAACAACGGTACGGAGGCTGCATTGTTCTCGCTCTATGGAGGGGACAATGCGGGACAATGTCCTCCCGCTGTGGAGAGACGTACTGGTTTATGTACTGATGTTCTGTGACGGTGGCTTTATTCAATTATATTACAACATTTTAAGAACATCCTGCTTTCATTAGAATTGAATTAGTCCCGCAATACCTTCAGAGGATGTATTTCAAATCCCAAGTTTGCTAAATGCTCTTCTAATCGTAGTTTAATATCCTCCACATTGGACGTGGAAGCCGCCATTTCTGCGTTTCAATACAAAGCGGTGTGTTGTGGGAAATGTAGTTCTTTGGTTCATTGTTAACGAGTATAAATCGATTTACTATCGAACGATTGCATGAATGAACAGAATAACAGTTTTTTAGAAATTCTGATGAAGCGCTCCGTTTATTTTTATATAAGAGAACAAAAACGATGTACTACATTTCCCAGCAGGCGTCTGTGACGTCACACGCGATCACGTCCTGCTGCTCTTATTGGCTGGCGGATTTAAAAGTGGAGCCGAGGTTTTATGTGAGTAGCCACCTAACGTAGACATTAAATACTCAAATGTTTATTAAATGTAATGTTCACCTTGAAATATCCATAATGATTCACAACCAATAAATTAACGTAACGATACGAAGGTAAAAGTCACCGTAAAGCTGCTGCTAACTGTAATTAGCTCACGATAGCGTAAACGTGAGCCGTTTAACGTTAGCTGCTCGTCCTTTACGTTATCTGGATGGTTCGTGTGTCTCTGGCGTTTGAGAGCCAGTCTGATCTTTAAAAGCTGAAGAGATTCTGCTCTTCACTGCTCCTCTGTCTTGTCTTTAGTTCCTCACTGGTTCTCACCGATCACCTCACTGCTCCTCTTTGCGTTCTCGCTGGTCCTCTCCGGTTCCTTGTTGGTTCCTCACTGCTTCTCACTGCTCAATTAAAGTTCTATGTAGACGGCTAAACTGTGGGCTAGAGGAACCACACACTTTGACATTAGTGAAAATGCATTCGATGAGATTTCAGACCAGAACAAACCCACTGACCTCATTCTGAAGTTGATTCATCACATCATCTGTCGTTTCACAGCTCGGTGTCTCATCCCTCGCTGGTGTGTAACTTTTCATCCACAAGTTTTGCTAAATGTTTATTAGAGCTAACAATTGTTCCTCTGTAGTCCATCTGAAGATGAGCTGGGACCACGAGCTGAGCTCCATCCTGTCGGGAGCAGAAGGGAGCGTCTCCAAGATGCGGGTGAGTAGATCCTCAGTCCGCCTCATGTCTGCTGCATCCTTATGATGACGCATTCGGCGTCATGCGTCACTTCGGCTGCGCCGGTACGTCGCTCCTTCGGACGCGGTCGAGGGACGCAGCCCTCCAGGCGACGGTTTGGAGGACACGTCTGATCCATCCTAATCGGCCCAGCGTATCCCATCATGCAGTGGGGCTGACATGGATTTAATATTCAGGACGAAGGCAGGTGGTTTGGGAGGTGAAGCATATCCTCCTAACGTAAATGAAACAAGAAGAAGACTATTAGGTTTTAAGACTTCTCCTGTCAAGCGCAGCAGGTTGCTACGGGAGCGGCAGAGAAGCTAATGACGCAAACAGGAAGTGCCCCATCGGACAGACCGTCCGCCTATGTGGTCTTTGGAGGATCCGGCCCATATAGACCACTTATACATGAAAAAGAAACTTGATGTGTGGATATGACGTTCTCCCACCTGAACGTTTTCTATGTTTCCTCAGGAGCGACTGACCTCAGCAGGGAACCTTCCCGGACCAGCAGCACGTGGGTGACCTTTAGTGTTGCCTTGTGAATGTGATTGAAACCTGTGTGACCTCTGGCCTCCTGTGACCGAGGCTGTGACACCTCCAGGTCTGTTTCCCGCCACGGAGAGGATTCCTGATTCAGACTCGGTTCCTCCTGCTCTTCCTCTTCGAGCCTCCCCCCTCCGAATCCCCGCCCCGCCGCTCGGCGTTCAATGGTCCGACCTGGCTGCTATTCAATCACAGCTTCAGATCCAGAGCCAGGTGTGTGGAGGTTTACCTGAGATCCAGGAGCTCCCACAGAGCAGTGCTTTTATCGTTCACTCCGTTCCTGATGTGTTGTCAAGGCGATCGAGTCTCTGACCCAGAAAGTCCACGAGGGGGAGAGAGAGAGGCACTTTCAACACCGGCTCATCCAGGCGCTACAAGGTGATCCACCTGGGACCTTTACCATCAGTCACCATGGTAACCTACCTGAGGTTGATGATCCTAATGATGCCTTCAGATTCCAGATATTTATTATCATGTGCACAGTTTAACAGGTTACTCAATGACATTCCATGTAGCTACAGATCTAAAAGAGTGAAATAAACAAAAAGTAGAACACATAAAAAAATACTTATTTACACAAACTAAAGAGCAAAATATATAAACCATGTCAGTCACAGATTAGTGTGTCCTTTAGGAGACCAAAAGTGTCCCTTAGCCTTTAGCTTCCCTCTGAAGCGTCCTTAAGGAGGCTTGAAGGAGACCATGCGTCTGGTTTCCTCACACTAACAGCTCTTCTCCTCCAGAGGAGGTGCAGGAGCTCAGGGAGAGAGAATCCAGGAGGGAGCCTCCAGGAGCCTTGAGGACCATGGAGCAGTGGAGGAGGGAGGTGGGGCGTGAGCTCAGCAGTCTGCGGGGCCACATCAGCAGAGTCACGTTGCTAGGAAACCCGGAGGAGAGGTGCATTATGGGGGGTTGGAAGGTGACATTTTCATGTAAGGTCTGCAAATAAAAAAAGTAGTCTTCTTTGTTTTCTTCAGTTTCTCTGCAAAGCTCTGCAGAGAAGAACTGGAGCTCCTGAGCAGAGAGGTGGACCAGCTGAAGACGCACCTGAGTGAGTCACCTGCACACGCCGTATCCGAGCCGCAGGACCACGCGTGTCCTCAGCCCAAAGACACAACCTCAGACACGTCTTTTCTCCTGTTGACAGGCAGGCAGCAGCAGGAGGAAGGGGGAGGGGCCAGGAGCAAGGTACGCACGCACGCACGCACGCACGCACACACACACACACACACACACACACACACACACACACACACACTGTATAAGCAGCTTGTGTCTTATTATCTTTTGTTGCTTTGACAGATTCTGGAGGAACTGATAGAAAAGAACACAACTCTCAGCGCTGATCTGCTGAAGATCATCTCCCAGTGTTCTCATACACAGCACCAGCTAGATCAGATCAGGTGTGTGTGTGTGTGTGTGTGTGTGTGTGAAAACATACATACAACATATGAAAACAACATCAAATGTGTCTACAACAGAACTTGTGTGTCAGAACTGAGAGACGTGGTGAAGAGACTCGTCATCAAAGAGCATCAGACGTCAGGTACGTGCTGCACACACACACACACACAAACACAATCATCTAACTTCATCAGTTGACTACTGACATTACCATGATTATTGACCCTATTATAGTAATCTTAGTTTCTTGAGATGTTATTGTGGGAGCTATTATTTAGTTATTCTTAAACATTATTGTTTCATTTCTTCGGTTGATATAATATTAAGATTGCTTACTCTGTTCATGTAGTACAATTCAGTTTAATCATTTTTTGTGACCAAGTATGCATAGTTGGGTTAATTGGACCACTAATTGGTTGGGTGATACTGTGGGCACCTAGAGGTTACTGAGGGCAGCTCTCGGACCAGCATGCACCTGGTGACATATAGTCAGAGCAGCAGGGCGAGCAGCCACAAGCCAGTTGTATGTGTTTGTTGCCTCCTTTGAAATAAAGTGATGCAAACCAAAGGGACGGATTGCCTGGACAACGTTGCTGCGTGAGAGAAACCGACCAGCAGGTTTATCAGTGGCCCTTTGATGCAGAATTCTATTGGTCCCAAAGACAAACGGCCACTACAGTTATGTTTAAATACAATATATAGTGTTGTGGCGGAACGTGGCGTGGTGGTCAGCACTATCCCCTCACAGCAAGAAGGTCCTGGTTTCACTCCGCCCAGTGGCCTTTTTGTGTAGAGTCTGCATGTTCTCCCCGTGTCTGCGTGGGTTCTCTCCGGGTTCTCCGGCTTCCTCCCACAGTCCAGAGACCTGCTCTGGATCAGGTTGATTGGGGACTCTAAATTGCCCGTAGGTGTGTGAATGTGAGTGTGAATGGTTGTGTGTCTCTGCGTTAGTCCTGCGATTGGCTGGCGACCAGTCCAGGATGAACCCGTCTATCGCTCGAAGTTGGCTGGGATGGACTCCAGTGACCCTGTGTGCAGGATGAGCGGTTTGACAATGGATGGATGGATATAGAGTTGTACTGTTTTTGTTTCTATGGTTCAGAAGATTCACGGCTCCTTACCCGCCACGGCGTAGGGGTCAGGGGTGAAGAGGCGGAGTCAGACTTGGAAGACTTCAGCCCAACCCCAAGCCTGGCTGAGGTCAGCTCAGACGATCTGTCATGGCTGGGTGACAAAGACGCAGGTGAGGACAAATGTACAAGGTACCAGGTTATATTTACTAGGGCTCAGGTACACGAGGGCTCAGGTACACGAGGGCACAGGTACACGAGGGCTCAGGTACACGAGGGCACAGGTACACGAGGGCTCAGGTACACAAGGGCTCAGGCACACGAGGGCTCAGGTACACGAGGGCTCAGGTACACGAGGGCTCAGGTACACGAGGGCTCAGGTACACGAGGGCACAGGTACACGAGGGCACAGGTACACGAGGGCACAGGTACACGAGGGCTCAGGCACACGAGGGCTCAGGCACACGAGGGCACAGGTACACGAGGGCACAGGTACACGAGGGCACAGGCACACGAGGGCTCAGGTACACGAGGGCTCAGGCACACGAGGGCTCAGGTACCAGAGGGCACAGGTACACGAGGGCACAGGTACACGAGGGCACAGGTACACGAGGGCACAGGTACACGAGGGCACAGGTACACGAGGGCACAGGTACACGAGGGCACAGGTACACGAGGGCACAGGTACACGAGGGCTCAGGTACACACGAGGTAAACACGCTCTGAGAGAGAGAGAGAGACTCTGAATGTTTGCTCTTCATCTCCTCCAGCTCCTCATCAGAAGCCTGGAGTGAGTCTCAGCGTTCAGTCCAGACGGAGCAACTTCACAGGTCCGGGATCAGATCTTGATGATGATCTTCTGGATCCAGGGTCTGACCTAAGTGTGGATGACCTCTGACCTTTGCGAACAGGTGACTGAAGGATTCCCAACATTTCTTCTGGCTTGAAATGATGTAGTTATGTGATCAGAACTGAAGCAGCCATGTGGATCCTCTTCCCTCTGGGGTCTCCAGAGGAAGGAAAGACATTTAGGTTCTACACACCTGACGGAGTCAGCACCAGTGTGTTCGCTCCACCCTTGTGAGACTGAGGCTTTCTGCTCCGCCCTCTTGGCGCCAACTCCTTTATTTACACAAAGTCCCCAACAAGGCTGAAGAAGTCAAATCCCTCGTATGTCTGTGATATTATTCAATGTTTCCTAGTTCCTCGTTATGTAATCAGTGGCATAAATGGTTAGGCCATGGAAAAGGCTAGGCTAAGCTAGCTGCTAGGCTAAGCTAGCTGCTAGGCGGCTTCTATCCATGCAGTCTGCAGAGGACCACCACTGTGTCCTTCAAAGACACGTGGAAACGTCCTGCTAAATGTGGGAGATTGTTGGTTCTTCAAACACGTCAAATGAAGGAGAGTTAATTCATTAAAACATTTATTAAGAGCGATTATTGAATTTCTATTAAAAGCCCAAATGTTGGTTTGGATAAGATGAACCAACCGGTGATGAGGGAGTCCTAAAGCTGCACGGTGGAGGAGGGGGGGGTCACCGAGCATCATGGAGACCAAGGAGCTCACCAAGTAGCTGAAAGTATGAAGATGTCCCAAGCTTTGAACATTTCACGCAGAACCATAAAATCCATCATCACAAAGAATACAGCACAAGCACAAACCCACCAAGAGAAGGCCGTCCACCCAAAGTGAGCAGACAAGGAGGAGATGAATCAGAGGTGCAACCAAGACGCTCATGGGAGCTCTGGAGGAGCTGCAGAGATCTGCAGCTGAGCAATAATCTGTCCTTTATTGAAGAGTGGCAAGAAGGAAGACTTGAGACTGGGGCGGAGGTTGGTCTTCCAGCCGGACACCGACCCTCAACATACCGCATCAAATTCACATCAAAGCATGTTCATGGTTAAGAACCGGTCAAAGAACCAAGAACACATCTCAGTCCCATTGGAATCTATAGCAACATTTAAATGACGTCGCCATCCAATCTGAGAGCATCAAGGAGGATGGTGAAACATCTCCATCTGTATGTATAACGCTGGACGCATTGCTCTTAATGTGCCGGTAATGATGGTAAATGATGCTTGTAGCTGGTTGTCATCTACGCTCCACTACGGTTATAAAGGTGGCGTTTGTGTTTTGACAACGTTTTATCTCAGAATTTTGACTTTCTATCCCCTTACATTACTGCGGAAATGTTGTGTGAATGCATCACTCCAGCCAATCCAAAGACGGGGTTTGTAACCAATGAGGTAGAGACCATGGTGACTGGCTCCGCCCCCTTACTGTCAAAAAGAACAACAGCGAGCGCGTAGAAAACTCCTTCGAGCGCGAGCAGAGACTAACCTCGCGAGCAACGAAGTTCATCATGTCACGGAGATTCACATGTTTTTCTATTTTCTGTTAAATATGTTGCAACTCTGGAAACATTTTCTTCTCTTTGATTTAACCCTTTGTGCCAAAGGAAGCAAAACCACTTACTGATCATTTTAGCATTTGTTCTTTCATTTGTTTTATTTTGTCAGGTTGTCATCGTGTTACATTTTATGCGTACTATTAAACAATAATTGATACTTTTTTAATCAACTTTAACACTTATGCATTCAGGGCCATTTTAACGCTTTTAGAAATCTGAAATCTCTCATTTAGAACTGGACGTACGGACAGAAATATCTTCATTCATCAGTGAAGAGCAAAGAAATGACTCAAACGTTGTATTTGAGTTTTCCTTTAATATCTCAAAGACTGATCTTCTGTCTCCTGACAGCACAGAAGCCTTCAGTCATGTAACATCAATGACCTCTAGCAGCGTTACACATGTTACACACGTGACCCGGCTCAGGGCTCCCTGTGTGATGTCATCATCAGTAGAAAGCTCAGCGGCTAATGTTGAAACACGTCGGAGCAGCATTATATATTATATATTATATATATATATATTTTATTGTCTATAGCCTAGAATGACAACCACAGTCTGTACACATGCGACATCCTCTGTCCCGAACGAGGCCCCCGAAGTCACTCACGGGACACGTTGCGATCAGAAGAACGACTTGTTTTCCTCTAAAGTCGTCTCTGGTTCCATCTTCTGTTCTTTTAGAACTTTTGACTTCTAATGATGAGCCAGACCTCATGTACGAGGAGATATTCTATAATCCCCCCACCCCCGAAGATGGTTGCCTACAGACCTCACGCAGGAGGTCATACCCCCCGGAGATGGCTGACCAATAGAAGCTACTAAAGCCACTAAAACAGACTCCAGATCAGAAGCAGAACGTCTTGGTCTCCTGCAGCCTCCTTGCACAAGTCTTCTCACGGTTACCCAGAATCCTCTCTGTTTGGTCGGATGTTTCAGGGTTCCCAGTCAGTAGCTGTACATGGACAAAGGTGTGTCCTCCATCATGTCGTCCTGCACAGGTTGAGAACATAGCTGGTCAAAGTGACCCGTAGGTCAGGAGAAGGTAACATTGATATTGTTCTTTGAGTAGTAGAACTGCACAATGAATGAATGAGTGAGTGAGAGGGTTAATGAGCTAGTGAGTGAGTTATAAATCTCCCTCATGTTTAAACATGTGAACAGGAACTCCAAATGGATTTAACCAAACCCCCCCCCCCCCCCCCCGCGCACGCTCACCATCGGCAGGTCCTGCAGCCGGCGGAACTCGGGCTGGGCGTCTCTCTGCCGCAGTTTGAGGAAGAGGAGCAGAGTGATGATGACGGCGGTGATGATGAAGGCTGAAACCAGGCCGGCCAAGCAGGGGGTCTAAAGTGGGGGGGTCATGGACCGTAGTGGCTGGAACACAAACACAGGAGAGACTCACGGTCTAAATAAAGACCGGATGTGTTTCATGCCCATCGTGTGTCAGCGTATTCCATGCAGGACCCCCCCCAATGTGGGCCCCCCCCCCCCCCCCCATTCGGAGGAAGGCAGACAGAGCTTCATGCTTCATCGTCCTCTGATGGCAGGAGCTTCCCCTCTGTGACGAGGGAGGACAGAGCCTTGTTGAGGCCCCGTGACCCCCCAGACAGAGAGGTAACTGTGCCGTGCTCGGTGGGGGGGGGGGGGGGGGGTCTGTGTGTGTGTTGAGTCCTGTGCTGGAACACAAAGACACGTCTCTCTCGTAGTGGAGATGGAGGCAGGATGGATTCCCTCCCCAGCACAGACGACACGGAGCACTTACTGTCGTCCCTGACGTTGATCTGGGCGGGGCTGTGTGGGCGGGGCTTGGCCTGGGGCGGGAGGCTGCTTGGAGGGTTGCCGGCTTCGCTTGAAGCCTCTGGATGTCTGCGGGGTGGCGTAGTTCTTTGTTGGGGCGTGAGCGTCGGCGACTCAGAGCTGGGGGGCGCTGAAGACACGCTGGTGCTGGATGGTGAACTGGAGGTGGGGCCGGTGGTTTCCGGTTTTGGGGACTCAGCTGGTGGGGTGTTGTGGGTGGGCTGGTCCTGGTATGTTCTTATTGGTGGGGAGGTGGTGCGTGTGTGTGGATGTGTGGAAGTGGGAGAGGTGGGACGGGTAGGGGGAGGGGCCATTAGAGGTGTGTGTGGATGTGTGGAGGTGGGACGGGTAGGGGGAGGGGCTATTGGAGGTGTGTGTGGATGTGTGGAGGTGGGACGGGTAGGGGGAGGGGCCATTGGAGGTGTGTGTGGATGTGTGGAGGTGGGACGGGTAGGGGGAGGGGCCATTGGAGGTGTGTGTGGATGTGTGGAGGTGGGACGGGTAGGGGGAGGGGCCATTGGAGGTGTGTGTGGATGTGTGGAGGTGGGACAGGTAGGGGGAGGGGCCATTAGAGGCGGAGGTGTGGACTCTGGAGCAGAATCCTCAGAGGGAGAGAGGACGTTGGAATCTGTACAAAGAGAAATAATAACATGTTGTTGATTTTATTCAACTGCTCATGCTTATTTGACTCCGCCCACTAGTCAGCTGGCAGTTTATTTCCTGTTCATGATTTTATCCAGGTAGAAAGGCGTGTCCGCCCTGCACGCGGAGGCGCTGTCTAAGCCCCGCCTCCTCTTTGGACAACGAAAGCAGACAAGAGGACCGCGCGATCGACCAAATGTTGGTGACGTACTATGGAAGCAAATCACTGTCAAAATTCCAGAGCAGAAATCAGGTTGATGCGCGCGCGTCAATCAAACATCCGCGAGCAAAAGTCTGTCTCGCGCGATATTTGCTCGCTCGCGGAACGTGAACTTGCTCGGTAAAATGATGTCGGAATCTGTGAACATCTTGCTAACTGTCAATAGGGTTCGATAATTGTAAAGTGTAAATAATGAGCTCAGGCTCCGCCATAGTTCAAGTTGGTAAGACATCCACAGACTGACGCGTCGGGCTCCCTGTGGCGCTACGTGCTGCTGGTTGTTGAACCTACGCGTGCGTGTGTGTTTCCTCCGCAGCGGCAGATGTTTTGTGCCTCGGTCACCTGATTCGTCACACATTCATTCTTACAACATATTGCTGAAAATGTTCAAAACCCATCACATATCCTTATTGTATAAGTGAGCACTACATCACTGCCACGTATGAAGAAATACATTGAAAATAGATTTATTAAAAGATCGCCTCCATCTGGAAGCTGGTTTCCGCTCTCGAATGTTGATAGTGATTTGCCGCCGTAACACGTTTATTTATGTGTAAAATGAACATTGCACCAAAAATGACCGCACTCATTTTCATATATTGTGCATACTGCGCGTTTTTTAGGGGCAAGCTGCTCGTTACTGCGAGACAAACACACAGACGTCTGCATCAATTTCAGCACAGGCAGCTTTTTATCCAAACAGCAGTTATTAAAACACTAGGTGTCGTTTATCTAACCCATTGCATTAGCATTTCATTTGACTTTATTTTATTACGTGTGCACTGTTGTCTTGTCTGTCTACTGTCGCGCACTAACCGCCAAGACAAATTCATTGTATGTTTGGCATATTTTGGTAAATAAATGTTTCCTGATTCCTGTGATCAGAGAGCAGCTTCAACGCGCTGTCATGTCACAGCAACTCCATGTTGTTTAGCATCGGGAGCTAAAGGTCGTGTCTCCAGGTCATTTAGGGCTCCAGAAGTTCCTCCTGAAAATGTATAGTAACGTTTCGTGTCAATAAAGAGCCAGGTTACAGTATGAATAAATAAAAGATGATTTTTGTTTTTTAGGGTTCATCCCGACGCACCAAACAGCCATCGAAGAACACACACATTGCTGGTTGCACCTGAATGCACCACTAACAGTAAGGAAAGCGCGTGTGGGCCAGCAGGGGGCAGCAGTCTGCATGAAAGGAGGGAAACCGCTGGAGGAACAAAGACTATTTCCATACTTCGCTTAGTTCCAGATCTCGGATGTCATGAAATTGATAATACGTTGGAAAGGGTGTTTGTCCTGTTTGGAGAGAGTTTGTTTCAGAAGAGTAGGACACAGCCCAAAAGCTCGGACCCTGACCTCCAGGGGGAGCCACTTAGCATTATGTCATGTTTGTAGCAGTAATATTCTTGTTTGCTATGATGTCACAAGAGTTCTAACACAACGGCCGACTGAGCGCACACCAACACACTGGAACCTCCCACATCGATGTCACTTTAATAAAGACTCATTGCTCGGTTTCTCTGCTTCCTGTCGCAGTCATGATTTCCTGTTTCTGAGGGAAACCAGAGCTCTGTGTTGTGGTGTCATTACCGCTCGCTTACACACGAACACGCCTCCATCATCATTAGCTCACACACACACATCCGTTAGCACTGGAACTTGTACAAAAACAGAGGTGGAATAAAATGTAAAGAGACTGCAGCAGAATTTGGGCCTTGGTTTCCATTGTGCTGCAGTGGAGGTCAAAAGTCAAGTACTGGCGTAGTACGTTGTGTGTGCATGAGCGTGAATGTGTGTAGAAAAGCGCTGTTAAAGAGAATCAAAACACTGGCTATACGCTCAGCTAAGCTAACCCTATACCCTGGCTCTAAGCTTAGCTAACCCTTACCTTAAAACCAACCCTGGTGCTAAGCTAAGCTAACGCACAATCACAGTGGACTGCTGCTCACATTAAACTGTCATTTATCTCCTCCAGAGGAACTCTGCTCTTCTTCTCTTTATTCATTTATACAGTTCTGTCCAATCGGGAAGAGAGAAGGAAACAGGCAGGAATAAAGTGTGTGTGTGTGTGTGTGTGTGTGTGTGTGTGTGTGTGTGCAGTACAGTAAACCATTTTTCTAGTAATTAATTTAGAAGCCAAATGTCAGGAGATGAAAATAACTCTGAATATGAATAATAAATCTCAACCTACCGTGATTGGTGGATCCAAAGTGAACAAGAAGCAGAGAACAAAGAACAACAAACACTTTAGTCTCCATCATCGGAGGATCAGATTCCCAACGAGTGTCCTCTGTCTCCCTGTCTGTGTCTCTCTGTCTCTGGTGTGTGTGTCTCTCTGTCTGTGTGGTGTGTCTGCCTGTCTGCCTGTGTGTCTGTCTCTGGTGTGTGTGTGTGTGTGTGTGTGTCTCTCTCTCTCTGTCTGTCTGTCTCTGGGGTGTGTGACTCACTGTCTCTCTGTCTGTCTGTGGTGTGTGTGTCTGTGTGTGTGTGTGTGTCTCTCCGTCTGTCTGTGTGTGTCTTTCTCTCCAGCTGAGGACTTTCTAACTAACTGCAGACAGAAGGTCTCTCAGAGGGGCTGGAGGGCTGGAGGGACCCCCCCCCCCCTGCCACGTGTTCTGTTTAAAATAGTCCGTGTGTGTGACTCAGTGCAAAGACGCAAAGACGCTTTTTCGGTAGAAAAACCGACACCTACAATTTAGGCGTTTTATACATTATACATATATTTTTGAATGTTGTTTCCCCCACTCATCCTACTCTGCTCTTTGTTTGTGTGGAATAAATAAATTAGTAAGTAAAACCAAGTTGAAGTATATTGGACTCGATGTGGCTCTACTGTAATTTGATGTCGTCATCTGACCACGTGATGCCGCTGTGGCTCTATACGTTTAGAAAAGTGTTGAAACTACACATTATTGCACCACTTCTCGGAGTTTGGAGCGTCAAAAAGTCAAAAAGCGGAGTCGCTTTATTCCCCACCACGCAGATTAATAATAATTCATGCACCTTTGTGATACATGCTAACACAGAGCCGCATCTATTCCCCATATACGCGCTATGTAGAAGGGGTCGGAAATACTTACAATGATTAAAGCATAATTTGGGAATCATGTTGAGGCGAATGTTATGATATAGCCTTTATATACATGATGTACAGGTGTCACGCAGCAGGTGAGTGCTGCTGCTGTACACATCTGGATATGTGATTACCAAACAGAAACTGGGAAAATAGTCAATATCTGACTGAAGGTCGCCATTGAACCCTTCTGAACGTGCTATGGAAACATATGTCTGTGGACTAGATTATCTCCATTGTGTCTGTTAATAGCTTTGTTTGTTTTTTATTTAGTAAATAAAAAACATTTTCTAAAAGCTAAAGAGATTTTAGCCGAAAATGTGACGAAACGAAATTGAAACATAAGACAATAGCTTTCAATGTGAATCACTGAATATCCAACCCTAACTAACTAGCTAATAGTACCCGTGACAATAATACAACAGTATATTCTAACGAGTTGCCAGCTTTTTGAATGCCTTTCACTTTTAATATTTAAGGTTATTTGTATGAAGGGTCATTACAAGGTTGCGATATTTCCCACAGAACCTGAATGTAGCACCAGAAACAACCCGCTGTGGGTGACGGAGGCAGAAAAGCGTCAGAGAGCCGCCGCATCGTCTCCTACCAGCACCGGACAACAAGGTGTGGAAACCTCGGCTCTTTTCACATCCGAGCGGCTAAACACGGAGACCACGTTGTTCCCAAGATGCTGTCTCACTCTGAACATGTTAGTATTTACATTCTGGCTCTTGAGAAGCGTCACGTTACGTGCGTGCGTTAGCTACGTTAGCTCTGGATATTAGCATAGCAGCGCAAGCCGTTGCTATAGTGTTAGCGTCAGCTAGCCTGCTTCTAAAAGAAGCGAGCTAACGTTAGCTTGCCGGTTAGCTTCTCATCCTGATAGCATCCTTTTTGATGCTATCTAGCTAACTACCCTACTTGAATCCAGCTGTTACTGTGCAGATGTTTCCGTAGATTTCGGCTCCCGGAGGTTCATGAGCGGCTCCTGAATGTGTTGCTACGCTTTGGTCGTTTGACAGCTCCGTATCACCGGAGACATGGAGGCTACCGGAAGGACCGCGGGGGCACCGGACGCGCTGGACTTCACGGTGGAGAACGTAGAGAAGGTGCGTACCCTGGTTACCCAACCCGATGGCGGGTTACCGACCAAAGGAGCTGCATCGCTAGAATCATTATCATATGTGATGTTTGTTTACAAGCCGTTAGCTCATCTGTCTGCATCGCTTTAAATTGATCCACATTAAATCCTCAACATTTAGAAATGAAGGTTGTTGTTGTTGTTAAATGCGCGTGTGGGTCTTGTTTTTCTCCGTTGGAATGGCGTGCGCGTGAGTTTGTGCTCTCTGGGCAGCGGGTCACTGTGATGGAGACAAAGGGGGGGACGGAGTCAGACAGGTGCTTCTGTGGAGGAGCGGGATGGGGCAGAGCATGAGGGAGGTTCTGGGTGGAGAAGGATGGCGATGTCAGGAGATCACATGATGAGTTCTGATCACTTTGTGATACAGAAGATCATTATTCATGGTTATGGATATGGATATGGATCTGCAGGTGAAGGACGGGACGTTCTGTTATGGTTAAATTATGGCTCCTCTCACTGTTAAATGTATTCCTGTGATCATAAATCATTAGTTATGATGTACCTGATACTTTTACATTTAGCTGTTATTATGTTGTCACTTATAAACAATGGAGAAATCTCTCATCTGAAGACTGTTCCTAGTATTGTTTTAATGTTCAGAACAGAGTAATACTGATAAAAGTTCCCTTTAAGGCCGTGAGCACTTTGGTAGTTACACATTCAAAGTCCTTCCACGGTTTGGAACCAGACCAAAGGTTCGTTAGCTGTGGTACATTGGCGGTCTGGCTGGTTCCCATGAAGATGGAGGTGATGGATCCTGGCCCGGTAATTCTCTGGGTCCAATAGAACCTCTTTGTTGTGCGAGGAACAAAGAAACCCCTTGTGTTCTGAGCGGGTTCCTCTATGCTGCAGTCCCTCTGATCTAGAATCCAGGCTAGTAGGTGTTGAGTGCTACTGCAGCACCATAAGGAACCACATCACAGCCCTGGGTCGGCACCTTGCTCAAAAGCACTCTGACAAAGGTCTGTGTGGGGAGAGAAGAATGGTTAATCTAAGAATCCTAATTCTTAACATCTATCATTCTGCATTATTAACAATTTATTACATATTTTGAAAACTCTACAGAGTAGCTTGCAGGTCTACCGAGGAGCTCGGCCGACTACTAAAGGGCTTGGTGGTCTAATAAAGAGCTTGGTGGTCTACTGAGGTGTTGGTAGAAGCTGGAGAGATGATTTCAGAGGGACGAGATGCATTACGATGGATATTATATTCTATATTATCGGCTACTTGACAGACGTGTAACCAGACTGAAGGTAGGACACGCACGTCCTTGTGTGTGTTATTGTCGCAGTACGGCATGACGTCCTGAGGGTTGTGAAGACCACTCGCGGAGTGGGACCTTCACACACACCGTTCATCACTCTTGGCAACGTGCTCTTCTTCTCTTCTTGATGTTGTCAACAACCGGCTGCCCACTCTCTTTCCCAAAGAGGTAGTTAGCTAGTTAGTGGTGCCTCTGGTTCTCTGTGTGTGTGTGTGTGTGTGTGTGTGTGTGTGTGTGTGTGTGTGACACACACACACATACATCACCTGATTAATCTGTACATACAGTATTTGTTGTTGACCAAATATTATAGTGCGACTATCTGTACACCCCCCCCCTATGAGAGCAGCTTCACTTCATACGGCTCCACAAAGCTCTTCCTCTCACGTGCTGCTCTTCGCTTGGTGCTGGACTTCTTCTCTCTTCTTCTACAGGCTCTCCACCAGCTGTACTACGACCCCAACATAGACAACAAGAACATGGCCCAGAAGTGGCTCATGCAGGCTCAGGTGTCTCCTCAGGCCTGGCAGTTCTGCTGGGCCTTACTGAGCCCAGAGAAGGTACAGTGTGTGCACTCGCACGCAAACACACACGCACACGCACACACACACACACACGCAAACACACACTCACACACACACACGCAAACACACACGCACACACACATATGCCCCGGGATTACACACAAATGAAATGATTGCACCCTGATATTGATCTGAATTTAAAGAGCACATGGACCCCATCTCCTCTCACAGGTACCAGAGATCCAGTACTTTGGAGCCAGCGCGCTTCACACAAAGATCTCCCGCTACTGGTCTGACATCCCCTCCGACCAGTACGAGTCTCTGAAGACCCAGCTCTTCTCCCAGATCGCCTGCTTCTCCTCCAGCTCCAAGATGGTGCTCACCCGGCTCTGTGTGGCATTGGCCTCTCTGGCCCTCAACACCATGCCGGAGGCCTGGCCCGGCGCCGTGGCTGAGATGGTGCGGGTGTTCCAGGAGGAGGGGGGAGGGGTGGACGGGCGGGCCCGGTGCCTGGCTCTGCTGGAGATGCTCTCAGTCATGTCTGAGGAGTTCCAGACCAGCCCGCCTGCCGCAGTACAGAAAAGGACAGGTGGGTCTGCACACAGCAGCTTGTGATGGCCACCAGTCTAGTGTTTAAGTCAGTCTAGGTCAATGGACGTCTACCGGAGATCACTAGATGTCCAGTAGGGATCTAGTAGATGTCCAGTAAGGATCTAGTAGATGTCCAGTAGGGATCTAGTAGATGTCCAGTAAGGGTCCAGTAGATATCCAGTAGGGATCTAGTAGATGTCCAGTAGGGATCTAGTAGATGTCCAGTAAGGGTCCAGTAGATGTCCAGTAGGGATCTAGTAGATGTCCAGTAGATGTCCAGCAGGGATCCAGTAGATGTCCAGTAGGGATCTAGTAGGGGTCCAGTAGATGTCCAGTAGGGGTCCAGTAGATGTCCAGTATGGATCTAGTAGATGTCCAGTAAGGGTCCAGTAGATGTCCAGTAGGGGTCCAGTAGATTTCCAGCAGGGATCCAGTAGATGTCCAGTAGGGGTTCAGTAGATGTCCAGTAGATGTCCAGCAGGGATCCAGTAGATGTCCAGTAGATGTCCAGCAGGGATCCAGTAGATGTCCAGTAGGGATCCACTAAATGTCCAGTAGGGGTCCAGTAGATGTCCAGCAGGGATCCAGTAGATGTCCAGTAGGGATCTAGTAGATGTCCAGTGGGGGTCCAGTAGATGTAACAGTAGATTTCCAGTAGGGGTCCACTAGATGTCCAGTAGATGTCCAGTAGATGTCCAGTAGATGTCCAGCAGATTTCCAGTAGGGGTGCACTAGATGTCCAGTAGGGGTTCAGTAGATGTCCAGCAGGGATCCAGTAGATGTCCGGTAGGGGTCTAGTAGATGTCCAGTAGGGGTCTAGTAGATGTCCAGTAGGGGTCCAGTAGATGTCCAGTAGGGGTCTAGTAGATGTCCAGTAGGGGTCCAGTAGATGTCCAGTAGGGATCTAGTAGATGTCCAGTAGGGGTCCAGTAGATGTCCAGTAGGGGTCCACTAGATGTCCAGTAGGGATCTAGTAGGGGTCCACTAGATGTCCAGTAGGGGTCCACTAGATGTCCAGTAGGGATCTAGTAGATGTCCAGTAGGGGTCCAGTAGATGTCCAGCAGGGATCCAGTAGATGTCCAGTAGGGGTCCAGTAGATGTCCAGTAGGGATCTAGTAGATGTCCAGTAGGGGTCCAGTAGGGGTCCAGTAGATGTCCAGTAGATGTCCAGCAGGGATCCAGTAGATGTCCAGTAGGGGTCCAGTAGGGGTCCACTAAATGTCCAGTAGGGGTCTAGTAGATGTCCAGTAGGGGTCTAGTAGATGTCCAGTAAGGGTCCAGTAGATGTCCAGTAGATGTCCAGCAGGGATCCAGTAGATGTCCAGTAAGAGTCCAGTAGATGTCCAGTAAGAGTCCAGTAGATGTCCAGTAGGGATCTGGTAGATGTCCAGTGGGGGTCCATTTTTTTGTCAATAACTGTTTATTTAGCTTGACGCATCCTGTAGTAGTGTCCCCTCACGGAGGAAGTAGACCTGAGCCTGCTCCTCACTGTCCTTCTCCAGGTGCGGGGGGCTCTGGGCCGGGAGTGGGGGGCCGTGAGTCCTCTGCTGCAGCAGTTGCTGCGGCGGGCCGACAGCCCGGGGGCGGTGAAGGCCCGTGTTCTGCGCTGCCTCTCCTCCTGGGTGCTGCTGGACGTTCCTCTCAACGAGAGCGAAGACCTGGTGCACGACAGCTTCAGCGCTCTGACCGACCCCGAGCTCTTTGACACGGCCGTGGAGGCCATCGTCAACGCCATCTCACAGCCCGACTCCCAAAGGTGGGCCCCCGCTGTGACTCGCAGGGACGATGCCACTGGATGTCGGGGGGCAGAAAGGAGGGAGAGGAATGCGACTGGGTGGGCACTGAGAGGGGGAGGAAGGAACAAAGAGGATGGGGAGGAGGGAGCGTAGTTAAAGGCCAAGCTAACAGCCAGGGGAAGGAGAGCGGCATAACGGCTAAGAACCAAAAAATGAGTCCCTTGCTGGGAGAGATGGCTTCGTGGAGATATGTATTCGTGTTGGGCAAAGACTAAAAGATGTTTTCTGTGATTAACATCTCACGGAGGCTCATACGCGCTCATTTGTGGCGTTTCCGAGGACGCTTCATTCTTCTTGCGTGGGTTTGTCAACAGTTCTCCCGCAGCCGCATCCAACGTGGTCTCGCTCCACTGGTTGTTGGGGGGCAGCTAGTGGGCCGACCCGTCGCTGTGTGACGCCTGGTTAACGTGAGCAGCCTCCCAATAGTAAAGAAAGAACTGCTGTTCACACACGATAAGATCATTGTCGGCGTAGTGCTACGTATAAGCATCTCATATATATATATATATATATATATGTGTATATATATATATATATATATGTATATATATATGTATATATATGTATATATATATGTGTATATATGACGGAGTAGAAACACATCCACCTTTAGATTGTCTTGGTGATCTTTTCTTTGTGCTGCTCTGAACAACCCCCTCCCTCTTGTTCTCTGCTTAAACACATTACAGTCAACATTTGGGGTAATGCTATTGGTCTAGCAGCCTCCTGTTGCCAGGCAACCCTTTCCCCCTTCCAGAGAGAGTGTTGAAGCCATTCCACTGATTTGTGTTCTAGCCATATTATATCCTATCCAAGTGAGTAAAGTATAATCTTGCTAAACATCAAATAATGCTGATCATAATGAAATACGGTTTTCATGTTGATATGATATTGCTAAAATGATTTTGGTGGCGACAATGATGTCAGGGGGCATTAACTAACTATATCTAGACTTCACCTGAGTGCAGCCAGGTGCAAACTATTTTTCAACCACATTACGAGATAAAGAGTTTTCTGGTCACGTGTCCTCTGGTAGAAGGACGGTTTTTAGGGTGTGGGTCAGAGGTCAGATTGACTTGGACTGAGATTGCTGATTAAAGGAAAGGAAACAATGCACAAGTCATTAAAATGTGACTCAAAAACAGGATAACAAGTGAAAGCATGGAGACGTAAACAAAGGAGAAAAAAAAGATCAAATTTTGTTTTATGAGGAAAGAGCCTGAAAGACGTTCAAATCAGAGAGTGAAAAGTATGAAATAAATCCCCTCAATTTGAAATCATCTTTTTGGTCTCTGTGCCTTGACATGCTGCAGCAGTGCTGTCCTTCACATTTAACATGGCCACTGACCATGTGACGTCAGAGGAGGCCCTGAGGGGTCAAGGGTTAGGGTTCGGGTTCGGGGGGAATTGGGACACGGCCTCACGTCACAAGCTCTTGCAGTACTTTGGCTACGTTACATAGCCGTGTGTAATCAATGCTGCGATGGCTCCATGTAGGTTTCATTCATCTCTTGAAGGCTGATACTAATATTTATAATGTGTTCAAAAAGCTGGGCAGAAACAAGCTGCTAAAAAGGAAGCATACAGATGTCCTACTTATTGCTATTATAGATGAATATACCCGTGTGGTATTAGTGGTATTGAGTTCTGGTATTGTAAGCATCGGTGTCACAATACCACATGTGTGTTGTGCAATTATTGCACCAGCATTTATTGCGATATGCAATATTATTGCAATCGGAGTGTGAAAAAAAAATATATATATGTGTAAATTACAACTTAAATGTTGGTGACGCTCATTTATATGTAAAATGAATATCGCAGCACCAAAAATGATTGCGCTCAGTTTTCTGCATATTGCGACGGGCCTAAATGTCGGACTCATTCATATTCAGTTCTTCTTTGGGTGCAATGTTTTCAACATCCAGACTCACAGCTGTGTCTTAGCGTCTCTCCTTATGTGTCTCTCTCCTCGGCCGGCTCCTGTGCTCCTCCTGTCTCAGATATGTGAACACCTTACTGAAGATGGTTCCTCGGGTGCTGGCCCTCCAGGAGCAGCTGAGGGAGGCGGTGCAGACTGGAGATATGGAGACCTGTCATGGTATCTGCCGTATCGCTGTGACTCTGGGAGAGAACCACTCCAGGTGTGTGGGGGGGTCTTCCTCTACATCCCATAGCTAAAGACCGATATCTTCATGGTGTCAGCAGAGTGTCCGGCTGTAGGTTCTAGCCCTGCAACAAGTGGGTCCACATCCTGTGTCTCATGTGACTCTGTCTCCCTGCAGGACTCTGCTGGAGCAGGTGGACCATTGGCAAAGCTTCCTGGCCTTAGTCAACATGATCATGTTCTGTACCGGGGTCCCGGGTCACTACCCGGTCAACGAGACCACCAGCTCCCTCACTCTCACCTTCTGGTACACGCTGCAGGTGAGGAGGCTTTTCACCTATGTACCTCATAACCTTCTGCCCTTCTAGTTCATCAGGGTCCTGGGTCCGACCGGCCGTAGAGGAACTTGTTGTATTTCAAGGAATTATTAGAATTATTCTTCTCACAAATCAAGTGCCTTTTTGGGGCCTTTATCATATTCAAAAAGCTGCTAAATGTGTCCCGCATATTTGGCCTTAAGATGTTAAGAAGTGTCATCGTTTTGGAGTCTCCCATTTGGGTACGAAGAAATGTCTCTATAGCGCCCCCTAGATATTTGAAAAGCACCCCACTAGGCCAGTTCCCCCCAATGTGCGATCGACTTTTGGCACACATGTGCTCTTGGACACGCTCTACAAAACAGTCAATCGTGGTGTGCAAATGCGCCCAGCTAGATGTTCCACCATTTTGAATTGTCAGAACACATTTTTTGCCCATTTCCTGTGAACGCTGTGGCCGAAGGTTTTCTGTGGATTCTTATTGGTTCAATGTGCCCTTCTGCCCTTCTGGTTTATAACCTTCTGTTGTCTGCTCATTGTGAAGCACATTCAATGTTCTTTATCAAACCCTCGTGTCCTTCCTCTCCTCACTTTGTCCTCAGGATGAGATCATGTCCTTTGAGTCGGATAAGCAGGCGGTGTATCTGCAGGTTTACAGGCCTGTTTACTTCCAGCTGGTGGATGTTCTGCTCCATAAAGCCCAGTTCCCCTCGGACCAGGAGTACGAGTCGTGGTCCTCGGATGAGAAGGAGCAGTTCAGGATCTACAGGTCTGCGCTTTGGTCATGTTTCAGTGCTTCATAGCGTGACTCTGTCATTAGACCAGCGTCCCTCCAACACGTGCTTGCGTGTCCTGCAGGGTGGACATCTCCGACACGCTGATGTATGTGTACGAGATGCTGGGAGCAGAGCTGCTGAGTAACCTCTACGAGAAGCTGGGGAGGCTGCTGACCAACACGGAGCAGCCCACCTCATGGCAGGTGGGTGAGACCCTGAGTGGCCTTTTCTATTTTACATGATCACTTTCGTTTTCAACTCAATTCAATTAGTTATAATAAACCTTACTAATAAAACTTGAATTATATTGAAGAGAACAGGAACCTATATTAAGGTGAGATATCGATTTAACACCAGCTGAATGATGAGTACGAACCGTCTCTTCTACATCATGGAGTGGATTTGGTCTTATGATGTGTTTATGTTCGATGTTCCTCCTCCAGCACATCGAGGCACTTCTCTACGGCTTCCAGTCCATCGCAGAGACCATCGACGTCAACTACTCCGACGTCATTCCGGGCCTCATCGGACTCATCCCCAGGATCAGCATCAACAACGTGCAGCTGGCCGACACGGTGATGTTCACCATAGGTGAGGTCCCACCACCGGATGCCCTGGTGACCGGGGTGGAGCCCCGGCGTCTGACCTGCTTCTCTCCCCACAGGCGCTCTGGCCGAGTGGCTGGCCGACCACCCGGTGATGCTCAGCAGCGTCCTTCCTCTGGTGCTGCAGGCGCTCGGGAACCCGGACCTGTCGGTGTCTTCTGTCTCCACCCTCAAGAAGATATGCAGGGAGTGTAAATACGACCTCCCGCCCTACGCCACCAACATCGTGGCTGTGTCTCAGGTACGAGAGCTGCATGCCTTATATTATAAACAGAAAGAAAACAATATTTTTTTACTCGCTTTCCTTCAAGTGCAAAATATATGAACTCTAACTCTATAATAATAATAATACATTTTATTTATGTAGCGCTTTTTCAAAATACTTGGTTTTACATGGTTAAAATAAACATAAAGACATTATGGTCAGAAGGGGTTAGCACACATTTATATTCCTGGTACTTCTTTGTGCTCTGCAGAGATTGTGTTTCTCTATTTGATATTGCTGGTATCATTTTGGTTTCAAAGTAATAATAAAAGTAATAGACCTCTTCTCCTTTTCTCTCCAGGAGGTTCTCATAAAGCAGATCCACAAGGTCAGTGTGTGTTCTCTCACTTTCACTTCATCCTGCAGGAACTTGGGACATTTGGATGAGAAGCTCAGCGAGAGAATTGTGTAACATGATTTCAGCTCTGGCCTCGAAATAATTGTGTGATGAAGAATATTTACTTACTAAAAAGCTTCACTCGGGAGTCTCCAACTGTCCTCCTGGTGAGTCTGTAATGAGCTCTGATTGGCTGAACCTTTCTCTGCAGACGAGTCAGTGCATGTGGCTGATGCAGGCGCTCGGCTTCCTGCTCTCTGCTCTCCCCGTGGAGGACATCCTGAGAAATCTCCACTCCCTCATCACCCCATACATCCAGCAGCTGGAGAAGCTAGCGGACGAGACGGTGCGTGCACACGCACACGCACACGCACACAGGCAGAGTTGGACTCTGGCCAATAGGAACAGGCCTTGTTTCTGTCACTGCAGTGTAACATTTCTCCACGGGACCAGATTGGTTTTGACCCTGTAACAACGGGCGAGTGAGTCACATAAAAAGCAGCTTGTGCGTGAGCGCACACACACACACACACACACACACACACTACAGCAGCCAGTCATGCTGTTTCATTTGCAAACAACATTGTTCTTCCCTGTTGTAGTGACATATCTAATGGGCTCCAGGTTCCAGAGGCTAGGTGGTAGAAATGTGGAGCAGATGTTTACTAGATGTGAGATGTGTAGTTATCAGAGATGTCAGGTTCTCGCTCTGTGTCTCCACTTCCTCCCTGATGTTTGTGATGTATTACATCAGACTAGTAGATCAGGACCATCAGGGACCTCTCGTGGGGAGAACTTTACATTACATCAGACTAGTAGATCAGGACCATCAGGGACCTCTCGTGGGGAGAACTTTACATTACATCAGACTAGTAGATCAGGACCATCAGGGACCTCTCGTGGGGAGAACTTTACATTACATCAGACTAGTAGATCAGGACCAGCAGGGACCTCTCGTGGGGACAATAGGGTCAAATTCCCCAAAGAAATAATCAGTTTGTTCTGCTCTTTCTTTCGTGTTTCAGCCGAATCCCTCCAATAAGTTAGCGATCATCCACATCCTGGGTTTGCTGTCCAACCTCTTTACGACGCTTGACATCAGCAAACAGGACGACGAGTCAGCAGACAGCTCGGCGCCACCCGTGAAAGCAGCCCTGCCTCCACCTGGACCCAACCCAGTCAGTACCCCCGCACACATCCATGGATGATAGATACTGACCATGCAGTGTGCAGCAATGTCTTTGACTTTGACATTATTTATGTAGCACTTTTAAAGGCCAATGGCCAGGATAAAATAATCAGCAGCAATAAACAATACGAGCAAAAACAGTAAAAGGCAAACAAATAAAAGATCCAATGCAGGTGACTTAACTCAGCCAAAGGCCAACGTGACCAAGTGGGTCTTAAGGAGAGTTTTAAAAGTGGAAAAGCTCGTCACAGACCGCACAGGAAACGCCAAAGCGTTCCACAGTGTGGGAGCCGCTACTGCGAAGGCTTCATCTCCTTTTGTTTTAAGGAACGACCGAGGAACGTCCAGAACCAGCTGGTCAGCTGACCTCAGGGCTCTGGAGGGTTGATGCACATTAATGAGGCTGGATAAATATTCTGGGACCAGTCCATGCAGAGACTGAAAAACACATAAAAGATTCTTAAAATCTATTCTGGACCTAACGGGACGCCAGTGGAGAGGAAAGCACTGGCGTTATGTGCCCATGCTTCTTTGTCCCGTCAGGAGACGGGCTGCTGCAGACGGTTGAGTTCTGATCGGCCGATACCGACATACAGGGACTTGCAATAGTCCAAACGCGAAGATATAAAAGCATGCATGACTTCTTCAAGATCAGCCCTGTTTAGATCGGGTTGGACTTTAGCTAGAAGCCGAAGCTGGAAGAAGCTAGCCTCAACCACAGAGCGGACCTGCTGGTCCAATTTAAAGGCCCCATCAATAATCACACCAAGGTTTCTGGCCTGGGAGCCTGTGTAAGGTGCTAGTGGGCCAAGGGACCTGGCAAGGACCTGGACCAAGTCAGGGCGACCAAACACCAAATCTCTGTTTTGTTTTCATTTAGTTTGAAGAAGTTTAGGTGCATCCATGTTTTAATGTCCGTCATACAATCGAACACAGCATGAAGGGATTCCATGCTTCATACAAGCTCCTCCCCTCACATCCCTTAGGTGTGATAGTTCCCACGTGTGACTGCTAATGCTCCGTGTTCTCCAGGTGGTGGTGGTGCTGCAGCAAGTGTTCGCTCTCATTCAGACCGTCCTCAGCAAGTGGCTCAACGACTCTCAGGTGGTGGAGGTGAGTTGTGTGGGGTCTTTCTCTCCAAAACAACCTTTTCACTACTTCTCCAGCCACAAAAGAATCAGATGGCTCGGGGTTAAAAATCCAGAGGATTCAATAACTAACCAAAGCAAATTCAGTTACAAAGCTGCACGTCGGGCAGCAACACCCTTGAACTGCCTCTCGTACCTTATTGCTTTTATAACACCAGTGAAAGGATAAATGTTAAGTAAATCGCTGCCTTTCAGCACAGAATAGTATTAACCATCAAACGTTGTGTATCGCATTGCAGTAATCTACTCATGTAAACAGCATTTCATCTACCCATATTATAATTCATAATACATACCTTTAATATACCATCTAATAAAAACACAAACTATATACACATATTATACTGCGCGCTTTTCTGCTTGAGTTCCTAACATGAGCTCATGTGCTCCCTGCAGGCTGTGTGTGCCATCTTTGAGAAGTCAGTGAAGACTCTGCTACACGACTTTGCTCCCATGGTGTCTCAGCTCAGCGAGATGCTGGGACAGATGTACAGTACCATCCCCCAGGCGCCAGCACTGGACCTCACGCGACAGGTACTCCCGTCTTTAGTGCATGGAGGCATATACATGTGTTTAGCACATTACACATAACGTCACACAGGCTGTATCTACACAGGAATTAACGTCAAAGACACATGGATGGGTGGCTGGAAAGATGGATGGTGCACTGATGGATGGATGGATGATGCATGGCTGGATAATAGATGGACGATGCATGGAGGGATGAGACATGGATGGATGCATAATTGATGGATGATGCATGGATGGATAATAGATGGATGATGCATTGCGGGGTGGATGATTCATGGAGGGATGAGACACGGATGGATGCATAATAGATGGATGATGCATGGGTGGATAATAGATGGATGATGCATGGAGGGATGAGACACGGGTGGATGCATAATAGATGGATGATGCATGGAGGGATGAGACACGGGTGGATGCATAATAGATGGATGATGCATGGAGGGATGAAACACGGATGGATGCATAATAGATGGATGATGCATGGATGCATAATAGATGGATGATGCATGGATGGATAATAGATGGACGATGCATGGATGGATAATAGATGGACGATGCATGGCTGGATAATAGATGGACGATGCATGGCTGGATAATAGATGGACGATGCATGGCTGGATAATAGATGGACGATGCATGGCTGGATAATAGATGGACGATGCATGGATGGATAATAGATGGATGATGCATGGATGGATAATAGATGGATGATGCATGGCTGGATAATAGATGGACGATGCATGGCTGGATAATAGATGGATGGTGCATGGCTGGATAATAGATGGACGATGCATGGATGGATAATAGATGGACGATGCATGGCTGGATAATAGATGGACGATGCATGGATGGATAATAGATGGACGATGCATGGATGGATAATAGATGGACGATGCATGGATGGATAATAGATGGACGATGCATGGCTGGATAATAGATGGACGATGCATGGATGGATAATAGATGGACGATGCATGGCTGGATAATAGATGGACGATGCATGGATGGATACGTCATAACATTGGTTACATATCCCTTATGACACCTCAAGGACCTGCTCACTCTTATGTGACCTCAGTGGGCTTCTGATGTTTCAGATGGTTCATATCTTTGCCAGTCAGACGGATCACTTCCCTCCCATCAAAGCTCTGTTTGAGCTGGTTACCTCGGTAACGCTGTCCATCTTCCAGCAAGGTAGGAGGTCCAGTGGGGGGCGATGGTGAATAATGTTGTATGTGTTCAAACCATCATATTTCATTTCACAGGATCAAAAACCAGAGAAGTGGCGTAATACAAGTCCACTGATATATTCTAGAGATGAACCTTTGCATTTCTTTTTACATATGAAGCATTAATTGAATTCTGGCATTTACTATTACTATGGTCTTTATTAGCAAATACTTACTTGGGCAAAGTGAATTGGAACGTTTTTGGAGACTCAGCTACAAATGTAATATAATATGAATAAATAATAGTGGGGAAGAGGGTCAAAGCAGAAGGTTTAACATATAAAAGACATTCTGCTTTGTTTAAAGCATAACTCCATATGTTCCTTCAGAGATGTCACGTCTCCAATATTATTCTACAATGTAGAAAATAAACGGTGTGTCCAAACTTTTGAGTGCTACGGTGTATATTTATAAATATGTCTATATAGATGAATTAGAATATCAGAATTGTAAAAAGTGAAAATCCTATTCTATACTTTCACTACACCCAGGGTGATCTATTCAAAGCGTTTCTCTATTAAAAGGTGATGGTGGCTTACAGCTACTGAAAGTTCCCTCGTAGCCGAATGGGGGGGTTTCATTATCTGTGAGCCACAATCACCAACACCCCGTTTTGCATTGAATTACTGACATAAATTCACTTTTCTGTGATGTTCTAATTCATTGAGGTGCACGCGTACTTAGTGTGTGTGTGTGTGTGTGTGTGTGTGTGTGTGTGTGTACACACACTCTGTCACTGGACTGCTCTCATCAATCATCAATGCAGCCGACTATCAACATCTCCAGTGATCAGTTGATCACTTACAGACTGTTGATCATTGGTCGATATCTCAGTTTGCTTCAAACTTCTGTTTCTGTGTTTATCATCCGATTGTTTGTGTATTTCTTGTTTTTAATCTATTTATTTGTGTTTACTGCTCCAGGGTTTAGGGTCGAGCTTTGACCCAGTATGAGATGAATGAGATGTCATTTTGGATGCCCCCCCCCCCCCCCCCCCCCCTTTGGGATGGCCCTTTTTTCCTCTTTTTTTGGGCTGGTTTACTGGGCAGGGTTAAGCTCAGAGACCACGCCCCCCTTCTACCCCCCCCCAGTGGTTTTTGGGTTTGGGGGGGGAAATGGTGTGGGGGGGGGGGGGCAGCTGACGCCTCATTACAACGGAATGTTCAGTCCAGCAGCACCTTAAGTGTGACTGGGTGGGTTAAGCTCTTGGCACTTGGTGTGAGGACGGCAGCCAGAGAGGTCTTCAACCCCCCCACACACACACATACACACAGTAACAGAGGAGGGTATTATCCAGGTTGGGTGCCCCCCTCCACTCCAAACCAACCTTTTCTTTCTTTAGGTTTGTTCTTTTTCTCTCTCGTTACTCTCTTTATGTCCCCCCCCCCCCCCGCAGAACCATGTCTTTGTCTTATGCCTATTTTCTGTTTTTGGGCGGTCTGTTCTACCAAGACTCAGCCCAAGGTTTATATGCCCCCCCCCCCCCCCCCCGACTCCCCTTCGTTCCTTACTCACGTGTGAATTATTTCAATGAAATATTTTTGAGTTTGCTTTTATTTCCACATGACTGTTGAATCTATTCAGTTGCTGTTTGTATATTATTCTTATTCTCTTATGATTTCTTAAGTTTCATCTTTATTATATTTTAGGACCCAGGGATCATCCTGATATTGTTGATTCATTTATGCAACTCCAAGCTCAGGTGTGTTTTTGGTTTCTTATTTCATTCACTTTGGGTTTCTCTCTCTCTTTTTGTGATTCCTCCCTGTCCTCTCTTCCTCCTCCTCCTCTTCCTCTCTGTTCTTTGACACGGCCCTGAAATCGCCCTCGTAGCGGCGAGGCTGTGGAATGCAACGTGGGGGGACGTTTGAGAAGAGACGAGTCACCTCGCAGACAGAGCATCACTCTCACTTCATGAAAGGCGTGGCTAGTGGGGGCGTGGCTATCGGGGGCGTGGCTAGCTGCGTATTCCCCCTTTTTCAGGGCACGTTAGCGGCTTTTAGACAAGTTGTTTAACCTTTCATAACGAATTACTTAGCGATAGCATCGGCTGCGTGGCTAGCGCCGCCAATGAGCCTCTGGTTCACCATTATTTTCATTTTTCAGGGCTCGTTAGCTTAATGACAAAGGTGACGGCGGCGTGGTTAGCATTGTCCTGGTGAATGCCACCATGGTTTTGTGGTTAGCGGGCGCACGGTCCCACGTGACCAGTTCATGTCAGCTCATCCTTTCAAGTCATTCCACAACAGCAATAATCAAAGAAAAAATGAGTTCATATTTGACTAATATTTCAAAATCAATATTTTCCCTTATTCAGGCCACGTTAGCAGCTTTTCACCTTTTATAACGACCTACTTAACAATGGGAAGGGGGCGTGGCTAGTGCCGTCGTGGTTAGCAGGGGCGTGGCCTCAGGTGACTGGTTGATCTCTGAGCTCGTCCTCTCAAGTCATTCCAGCCCAGAGCCAATCAAAGCAAAAATGAATTAATATTAAACTAATATTCATCAGTCCGGACAAACTGGCTGATGACTCCTCTGTTTTTATATTTTTGTCTTCATTCTTCTTCTTTTAGTTTTCTATCTTTGGATAGATCTGACCTTCATCTCTCTCCTTCTCTCCTCCATCCTGAATGAGTTCATTATTACAAGATGATTATTCTGTTGCATATTCAATCCAGTGAACCAAAAACTAGTTGTTTCCAAATCAATTTGATGAGAGTAAAACCATCACTGCCTTTTAGTTGACTGTTTTTTGGACAATTAGTGTGTTGTAGGTGCAGTTGTGTGTTTGCATCCCTGTTTTATGGAGCCCGTTCTAAAGCCTGGTAGGCAGATCTGTTGTCAGGCGGCTACCAGGCTGAGCGCCTCTTAGAGGCTCCACAGTGTTAGCGCAGCTAGCTGTGTGGCTCCATGAGGGGCAGAGCTAACGGGGCTAATGCCTCTATCTGCCCCCCCAGGCCCTCAAACGCAAGCCCGACCTGTTCCTGTCTGAAGGGCTGGACGTGAAAGCAGTGTTCCACTGTGGTAAGCACACGCGCACACACACACACACACACACACACACTGTTGTTTTTTTTGACCGTTTTTGTATTCATGTTTCTGACTCCTCCCCCTTCTAGGAGTTCTGTCACTCAAATTTCCTGAAGCTCCGACAGTCAAGTCAACGTGCTTGTTCTTTGTAAGCGTGCACACACACACACACACACACACACACACACACACACACCATGCATGAGTGTGTACGTGAGGCGTCCTTTGTCTTGACCCCCCTTGTGTCTCTGCGTCAGACCGAGCTGCTGCCCCACTGCTCAGATGTTCCTCCTCTGGCCCGGGTGGTGCAGGAGGACGGTAAACTGCTGATGCAAGCCTTGCTGGAGGTGAGGATCAGCGCTGCATGTCACTCAGGGCTCCTCCATCAGGGTGGTGTTTGTTACAGAAGCTCCAGAGATGATGGCATGTTCCACCGTTAAAAGAAAAGAGGCAAATCTAGCCATACACATGGCACCTTCTCTGACCTTTGACCCCTTCCCCATCGATGCATCACTGTTCTTTATTCTGATCACATCAAAAGCAAAGAATGACAGGAAGATTTGCCTCACCTCGTTGTGTGTGTGTCCAGCAAGCTGCATAAAGGCGTGTTGTGTTCTCAGGGCGTTGGGGGCGGGGCCTCTCGCAGCCTGATGGACCAGTTTGCTGAGGTGCTCTTCTCCCTGAACAAGCACTGCTTCTCTCTGCTCGCCATGTGGCTCAAAGAAGCCCTGCAGCCTCCCGGCTTCCCGTCCTCGCGGGTCACCGCTGAGCAGAAAGACAACTTCTCTCACCAGATACTCCGGTCCGTTCACCGCTCACGGCACACGTCCCTGCTCTGGTTGTCTGTGTGTGACCTTTGACCCTTCTTTCCAGCAGAGAGCGAGTGAACAAAAGGAGGGTGAAGGACATAGTGAAGGAGTTCACGCTGCTGTGCAGAGGTCTCCACGGGACGGAGTACGCCGCCGAATACTGAACCTCCACCATTGAACTGTTGCCCAACCGCGACCTCTGCCCTCAGCGCCGCCAGCTGGATGCCACAACAACAACAACAACAACAACAACCCAGTGCTCACAAGACATCGTGGAATGATTGTAATGATGAGGACAAGAGGAGGAGCCCCTCCTTGTCCTCTGATTTGATTGGACGAGCTTCTGTCTCCTTCTAGATCTTCCTGTGGTCCTCTAGGTTGTTTCCTGGTGATTAGCATCAATATGAAATGTGGTATCGTACGTAGCTACTTGACATTAACTGATCAAATGAATTCTATAAATGTATACGTGTAGATGGCTGAGTCCTGCTGCTGAAGGAGGGGAGAACATTAGCAACACTTTACTTTACTCCTAAACCTGCTGATCTCCGCGTTTGCCAAATTGTCATGAAATGTTTTGTGAATTGGTCCTTTTTTGCCTTTTTTGGGGGTTTTGAGTATAAAAAGAAGTGAAGATGACTCGTGTGGACCTCATGTACACACAGTCATGCCCGAGTCTCCTGTGACGCATGGTTCCAGAGGTAAAGCAGGACTGGGGGGGCACTAAAAGCAAGCTGATAAGAGGACAGAGTATTCCGAAGGACGGCTTAGCAACTGTAATCGTGCAGAAATATTAATCAAGTTGTGCATATTAACAGTTATGGCTGAACGTGTGTGTGTGTGTGTTAGAGAGAGCGCACGTGCTCGTGCACAGATGTATCTTGTTTCCACTTGTTCAGTGCACTTATATTGGACTTACAGTACACATCATCAATTCTTCCTTTTCATTCAGAAGGGATAATCATTGATCTGTTGTTCGGTCAGATCGTCCAATCGGTTTTCAGCTTTGGAACCAGAAGGAGGAGCTTCTTTTCATTCGGATCCTTTTGTTTTATCAAGGTGCCTGCAGACATGTAGCATGTATGTGTTTTGTGTTGGGGGGGAGCAGCCTACCACAGACATGGACCTGATTCAGAGCAAAGCCCAGAGGCAGGAATCAGCCTCGTTCAGTTAGTCACAGCTTAAGGGGGGGGGGGGTACATTGTTTTGTTTTTTGTACCTTGGCTTTAATTTATTAAATATATCTAAGACTGCCGCTCCTGACTCTCCAGTAACTCATCACCTGTGACGGGTAGAAACAGACCCTTTACTGCTTCTAATTCACTATTATATGAAGTAATGAATTACTTACTTACTGGTCGGAGCCGTTATTGGTTTTCTTTAGTTGTGAACTCAACCAATCACTGCGGTATATCGGCTGCGCATGCGCACACCGCGGAACGGCTCCCACGTGGCTGCAGGGCTCCTCCTTTCCGTCTGCAGAGCCCGCCAGTGCAACCAGTGAGCCCAGTAAGGAGAAGCTTCTCCAGGACCGCAACAGGACTCTCCGCGTCTTCATCCCGAAGCCAGACTACCAAACTGCCTCACGTGAGTCAAGCTAACTAGCTTCATGCTAACGGAGCTAGCGGTTAGCCTCGTAGCTTAAACGAGCAGCAGAAGGTAGTGAGGACGGAGGGGAACCTGTTCTCTGGCTGATGGCAACATATTGCGCCGCATTGAGATTATTAATATTATTATATTATTATTATATGTTTATCATAAACCCCCCATATGCTGCAAATGTGGAATTAACTTAACCAGGTACACTTAATGCGAACATTTAACGAAGCATAACACGAGAGATACTTAAGCATCGTTTACTGCAATGCACACATGTACATTTATGTAACTGTAAGCTATTTCTGCACTAGAGAGCGGCTTTTATTGTGAAGGAGGAGACGGAAGGAGCGGGTTAGGGTCTTTGAAGGGAAAATAAAGGTGCTGCCACCGTTTGGCGCAGAAACGGAACTTATTATTAACCTGAAGTGCACGCGCACTAAACCACCGGCTACATAACCATCGGGCACACTTCCATTCATTTATACAATTATAGGAAGTTACTAATACACTCAAATGATTATGATCAGCTTGTGTAATTTAAAGAATCAATAACTACAGTAACAGGTAGTATTTGGCTGTGTATTATTAAGTAAAACATGTGGTGTGGATCAGGGCTTTAGACTTTGAGTGGTTTCCTCCCATGTGGTGAACTAACTCAATAACACAATAACCCATTAACTCAGAGCTCCTGAGCCTCATGTGACCCGCAACACGCACACGGGATGCAGTGGTGACATTACAATCTGAATGGATGAAAGATTACGTGAAATAGTTGTTTACTTGTTGTTTGTTGTTTACTTGTTGTTTATTGTTATACAGTCTCAGGGCCGAGGAATCTGCTTAACCTTTTAAATACAAATGAGATTTAAATATTGGACATTATCATCAATCAGAGAGGCGATCACAGTAAAACGTGATTGATTAGTCTCCTGGACCAATCAACGGATGAAGATCAGTTCATCAATCACCTGTATTGATCCAGAATGATAAGATCGATGACTCTGTGTTTAACTGTATTTACCCCCCCCCATCAGTCATGGCTGTAGTCCGGTTCTACAGTGATGAAGCGGTAAACCAGCGAATGCAGAGAGCCGCGAAGCTCCACCCACACCTGTCCATCACCACGGAGCTGTGCTACAATGTGGAGCTGACAGGTGAGCGATGATGATGATGATGATGATGATGATGCTCCATCACAAGGACTTGCTCAAGGGTACGGAGGTTGGAACCGCAGACTTGATGATGTCATCACATCAGCTGCTCTCACTAATGAATTTCATACAGTTCTTGACTATTAAAGTATTTTTCTGTCACGGTTTTGTTCCGTTTTCATATGAAAATAAAAACATGTTATACATAATTGAGCGTCACATTAAAATCACATCTTTATAAATATAATCCCAATGGATCAGATCAGAATGCTATGCAGTTTGTAATGTTTCTGAAGAGGAGCAGCTGACCGTCAACACGTAGCCCCGCCCCTCTTCATGGACCATCAGTCACTAAATGAACATCATGTTGTGTTGAAGAAGACTTGAAACTAGAGACTGAGACATAAACTCATGTTTACAACGTTTACTGAGGGAATAAATCAAGAGAGAAGTGGAGTCATTTCCTCATTCACTTCTTATTTCAATGTTTTTAGTTTTCAGATAACCGGTTTACTCGGCTAGCGTCGCTATGAACTGTGGGTAGTCACTGAGACAGGATGTTCTCCTCTCTGCAGAGCCAATCAGCACCGAGCAGACGGAGGTTCTGCTCTGGTTGTTTCGCCCTCTTTTTCAGGCTGAGCCGCTGTCACTCAAACCCAAGCTCACGGAGGGAGCCGAGGAGAAGCTAGTGGAGATTGGACCGAGGTGTGTGTGTGTGTGTGTGTGTGTGTGTGTGTGTGTGTGTGTGTGTGTGTGTGAGATGTCTCTGTGTGTGTGTGTGAGATGTCTCTGTGTGTGTGGTGTGTGTGTGTGTGTGTGAGATGTCTCTGTGTGTGTGGTGTGTGTGTGTGTGTGTAATACGGATTCATTTGTGGTCTTCAGGTTGAATTTCTCAACCAGCTGGTCTACAAACACAGTCTCCATCTGTCAGAGCATCGGGATCAATATAGTCACCAGAGTAGAGCTGTCAATCAGGGTTCTGATCAAGGTACACACACGCACACACACACACAGACCCCCCCCCACCTCCCCCCTCATGTGTCTCTCCTCTCAGCCAATAAAGGGACAGACCCTGAAGCATCTGGAAGGAGACGTGAGGACGCTGATTGGTCGTCTCCATGACAACATGACTCAATGCATCTATGAACGTCCCATAACCTCGTTCGCCGTGGCGACGGAGCCACAGCCGGTGCTGGAGGTGGACGTCCTGCAGAGAGGTCGAGCTGCTCTGGAGGAGGTCAACGAGGACCTGGGTGATTAACTATTGAGGATCTTTGGATGAGCCGGAGACTCGGGTCAGTCAGCTGATGGAGGTCATGTGACATCATCAGGCATGTCACATGACACAAGTGGTGCTGCTGGTGATCTGATTATGAGACAAAGTCCAACTTGTGTTCCATCACAACTGATTTACTGTCTTCTTCCTCACAAAGGATCCAAATCTGATCATTCAATAGAAAATGACAAATTACACGCAAGCTGGTTGTGTCATTTTGTTTGTTTGTTTGTTGTTGTTCAGGTCTTGCCTTTGACTCCTGGGATCTGGATTTCTACACGTCGATGTTTCAGAGGATCGGAAGGAACCCGACTAGTGTGGAATGTTTCGACCTGGCTCAGTCCAACAGGTGGGGGGCTTTGTTTACTCCCGTTGTTGTTGTTGACCGTCACTGATAAATTTCAGGTTGCTTTGTTTACCCCTGTTGTTGTCCCCCCCCATGTGGGCACAGCCGTCACTGGCTCTTTCGAGGTCGGATGCAGAT